TGATGCAAATTTTATGAAAGATTAAATGTGTTTAACACCTTTAATTATAAATTAACCAATTAACTTTATTTTATGATATATTAGATACATATGCATTTTAGTATAGAAATATATAATAAAATTATTATAACTTAAAGTGATGGCTATTGTATTTTCATGTCAAACAGTATATTAATCAACACTATTATACTTATTTTTCAATACTGTCATATGATACCATTGTTTTATTATATGTTGTTTTATACCTAAAATGTATTAATCAATATCCTTTTAAATGGCGTTGATTGACATAAGATTTGTATATTAATACTTCTGCTTTTTGGTATTAATCGATACATAACGTATATTGACACGTTATATGCCTATTTAAAACTTCCTGATAAAGATGTAGATATTTTGGCCATGCATTACTATTAAGCCTTTGATTATAAGAAGCTATTTGCATAAATTGTTCTTTATTTCTTATTTACTTACGATATTATTTTAGTTCAATTTCAAATTTATCTGCTGTTAATCATTTACTGTGACTATTTTAATAATATGCAATTATTATTAGTTTTTTCTTTGCTATCTATTGTCTTCTTCATTTCATTGTAACTTTAGCATAATAAGCTTGAAGATTTTCACGAACCATGTTATTAGTACTAAAATAAATAAAATTGTTAGTATTTATTTAATATAATTTCAAATAAATTTAATAAAATATATATAATACCTTAAAATTTTAAAGGTGAAGTACAAAAAAAAATGTGAAAGAGAAATGTAAAAGAGAAACATAAAAAATAACATGAAATGCGAAATGAAAATGTGAAGAATAATATTTTTAATTATATTTTTTCACCTCTCAAAAAATGCAGTTTATTTTTATAACTATTAAACAGTATTAATGAAGTGTAAAAAAGAAAATTTAATTATCTTTAAATTTCCTGAATACAATAAATTATGTATTATAATTTTCCTAAAAAAAATAAAAAACTGCAAAAATAATTCTATTTTTAAAAAACCCTTCTTATTTTATTATTTTATATATATTGAATATAAAATACCCAATCATTCTAAATATAACATACATTTTCTGAACATGAAAGATTCTTCTTGATATATAAAATTAGTTAAAAAATTTAAAAAATTATAATAACGGTCATTTTATTATATGAGAGGTTTACTAGGAAAATGGGACTCTGAGCATTTTTTATTAAAATTTTGATTTTTATTGCATTTTATTCTAACATTATCAAAAATTAAAATGCAATAAAATTAAAATTTTAATAAAAAATGCTCAGAATCCCATTTTCCTAGCAAATATTCTATATACCATATTTTAATATCATTTGTGTAACATATACAGTATATTAAAAAAAGTCATTTCAAGTTAAATTGGAATAATTAAATCAGTATTTATTAATTATTAAAAGGTAATTTTTTTTTATAACATACCACTATATTAACAATTAACTATTATATAGTAATACCTTCAATATGCATACCATGTCTTAGTCCTAAACACAGGACTTAGAGTTAAGTACATTCCTTCTATATTTTGCACATGCAAGCAATTTTGAGTTCTGGATATATTAAAATTGACCAATCATCAACAAATTTTTATAGAATTAATAGTGTTTTACCCTGAATTAACTAGTGTTAATCTTGGGTTGAATTAGTGATAATTATATATTAATTCCTGTAATTTGAAATTTGAAATTGCGAAAATCGTAAAATTTGAAATTACAAAAATTACAAAAATTTTAAAATATTGAATTATTTGCAAACTTATTTAATGCTGATGTGTCTCGCTTTGAAATATTAAAAAATTAGATAATTATTTGCAAACTTATTTAATGCTAATGTGTCTTGCTTTGAAATATTGAAAATTAAATAATTTGCAAACTTATTTAATGATGATGTGTCTCGCTTTAAAATATTGAAAAATTAGATAATTATTAGCAAACTTATTTAATGCTAACGTATTTCGATATGATTTTATAAAATAAAGATTTTATCACAATTTTGTTTTTCTAATTATCAAATATTCTCTATATTTTCTTAATTTCTAAAAATGTCTAACATTATTAAATGGTCTGAAGAAGAAATGCAATTTTTGATTGATTTAAGAAGAGATAAAAATGAAGATTATAAAGAAGATTCAGTAGGTTAAGTTACCTATTTAGAACAAAATTGCAGCGTAGATCAAAATAAATTTGAATACAACTTTTACTAGTGTGCAGGCTAGAGGTGCGATCTAGTCAATCCGTATTATCCGAATTGTTACCCGATCAAAAGTTTTCAATCCAGATGTAAATCTTTATCTGTTCAAAAAAACTATTCTCAGATATTATGCAGATGATCTGGATGATCCAGATATTAACGAATGATCTGCAATCCATTCAAATTATAAACTTATACATTCAGAAAATCATGTTATTAATTTATTGCATTTATTAGTCAATTAAAACTTTTAACTTCAAAAAAAAAATTTGTTTTTGTAAGCAAAAAATATCATTTTTATTAATTGTTGCTATTATTAATTATTTGGGTGGGTGAATACTGTCCAAAATATTAAAATTTCTTTTCAAAAACATTAACCTTTTAAAAAACTCTGGACTAATACGTGTTCTTTTAGGTCCCATCAAATTTCCGCAGTCTGAAAACAACCTTTCACTTGGAGTTGAAGTGGTTGAAACTGAAAGATAGGCATGTGCTAATTCACTAATTATTGAAAACTTTTCTTTGTTAATTCTCCACCAAGAAAAAGAGTCTGAATTAAATGGAATTTGTGGAACTGCAAGGTATTCATCAAGTTCACTTTGATTATTATTAGATGATAGATGATTAAAAATATTAAAAAGGGTTGGTTTATATAATGTAGGAAAGGGTGTAGAATTAAGAAAAGGAGTAGTGGTTAAATCAGATAAAGATGAAGAAGGTCGAGTATATAATGACATATTAAATTTCATATTATTATATTTGTCTTATAAAGAATGCTGGGTTGATCTCATTTCATCAGGCGCAAAGTCAAGTTTTTTGATTCGAGGGTCAAGAATAGATGGTAAATATGATATTATGCAATTTTTTTTCCAATAAAAAAGCATTGCATAATATAAAGTTTTTTTACTTCTTCTAAAACTTTCGATGTCTGCATTATCTTATCTAAATTAATTTTATTATTATTATTGTTAGTATTATCTGGATTATCTTGATTCTCATCCCATACAAAAATATCTTCAATCTTCTCAATATTAATATTTGTTGTACTTGATTCAGATTCGGGCTTGAGATTGTCAATAATTTTAGCTATTAAAGGTTTCATTATAATATGAGTAGAATAATTACTACCTCCAAGATATCTGGTTTTTTCTCAAAAGGTCCTAAAATTGGTATCAAATCACGAGGTAAGTCCAATTCATCATTTGTTAACATTATTTTAGATAGCTGTTGAGAATCCTTTTTAGAATCCTGATCGACTTTCTCAGCCAAATTAGCTTCAAGTATATGAATATAACGTTTTAATTCTAAAAGTTAACATCAAGCTAGATAGCTAGAGTTCCAACGGGTAGATACATCAGCAATAACATGTCTCAAGTATTTTGCAGTTTTTTCAGTAGGCTAATTAATAAATAAATGTTTTTTTAATTAATTTAATTAACAAAATAAAAAATTTATATTTTTACTTACTATAGGTGTTCTTGAGGATTCAGAATTCTAAGAATTTGTAAAAATTATAAAATTAGAATATTTATTAATAAATTATTTTTTATATTTAATAATTTAAATACAATATAAAATAAAAAAATTATTTAAATAAATTATTAATATTAGTAGTGAAAATTTTTTTTTTTATAAATATCAACATCAGAAAGAAGACAATTATTTTATTTAAAAAAATAAATTATACATTTTTTTTTATAAAAAAAAAAACTATTTTAAAAACAAAAAAAATCATTCTTTTTAAAAAATAAAAAAAAAAGTTTTTTTTTTATTAAATATATTAAATACAACCTCATTTAAATCTATTGATTATGTAAATTGTTTTTGAATTTTTTCAAGACGTTCTGATTGCTTTGGTCTCATAAAAAAATCAATGAGACGTTTAACATGGCTAACCAATAATTTGATAGGTTTTAAACTTTTTCCAATCACAAGTTGTAAGATATGAGCAGCACATTATATTATTTGCCACAATTTCTAAATCTTGAATAGCTTTTCGCATATTTGAAATATTATCTATTATTATCATAAAAACTTTATTGCGAAGTCTCCATTCATCCAATACTGTAAGTAATGTATCTCCAATATGATCAGCTGTATGAGGATAAGGAATATATTGAACTGAAAGAACAATTTCATGAAATTGAAATTCTGGATTAAGATAGGAATATGTTATTCCCAAAAAACCTTAACGATTTTATCCTGTCCAAAGATCACAAGTTAAAGATACCGTATTAGCATCTTTTTCTAATTTTTCTATAATTAGCAGTCTTGAATAATTATATGCTTGATAAATAATTTTTTTAATATATTTTGTATTTGGAATTTGAAATCTTAGATCTAATTGAGAGATTAATTTTTTAAATGCTGGACTTTGAATAATAGTAAGTGGTAGAGAATCACATAAAATCCAATCCGCAAGATACTGACACAATTCAAGTTAACGTGAATCTTAATGATAGGTTTTTTTAGTAAGTTTTTTATGATATCTTGATTCAGATTTATTTGCTTTTAATATATTTAAATTATTAGCATTATATTTATAAAATTAATATAATCAAATTTTATAAAAAATTACTTACAGTATTAACTTCTTGCTTAACTTGTTCCGTTATTCCATGATTATTTGCAAGATGAACAGCACAATTACCAGTAGATGTACCAATCCTATAAGTTCTTTTACATTTCTTTCCATCTACTATTTCTACTTAACAAACTGCATATCTTACTCTATCTTTATAATTAGATTTAAAATGTTTCTAAATCCAACTTCTAACTTTATTTCCTCTACAGGTTTCATTTAGTTTAACTTTTTTTTGGTTTAAGCCTTGTTTTAATTCAGTGTCACTATTATTATATGATTCTTCAACCATTGTTATTATTGGTTCAATATATATAAAAAAAATGAAACACGACTTCACAATAAATTTACCAATTATAGTTTTAATTAGCCAATCATATTAAACAGATTATACGGATTTATACAGATCATCCAGTGATAATCTATTCAAATTTTCATAATCCATATATCATTCTGTCAAAAAAATTATAATCTGTATTGCATTTACAGCTAATTTCATAATTCGTGAACCACTAATAAATTGCGACTGAATGCGACTGAAAATATTTTATAATAAA